CCCTAGTACAGTGTATACTCATGTTTAAATACAAATCATTGATCACTATAGCAACCCCTTTACCACATGAAGTACGTTCTAGCTCTAAGATAAAAAAGCACTTTTGAACAGAAACGCACACGCCCACTCATCAAAAGGTAAGGTGAGCATCCCTGGTTTTTATCTTGTTTTGTCAAGATGATTTTTGTTTTAAGAGTAGGTGAAAGATTGTGTGTGAATAGGTCTGTGCATGCTTTGATTGTTTATGTTGAATTTTTGTTCTGAATGTATTAGTATCCAGACTGAACAGAAGGAACAGATGCTTCTCTTGGGAGGTTTAAAAAGGGAATAAAGAATCAATATGTATTTAATCAGACTGTTTTTCTCAATTATCATTGCTTTAGCTGTAGGAAAAGTATTGAATTATAGGGTAGATTCTAGAAATGGAATTTCCATTCTGCAAGAAATTCTGACATGGTGACTTCCACTCCCATCAAATTGAACACAGTACTTAATTTTTTAAGTTCCAGCAAAACAAAATACCTGAAAAGTTAGCAGGTTTAACTGAATTGTTTGATTTCAGTAATGTAAGAAGATCTATTTTGAAAAAATTCCAGTGTATGTTCAAAGTAATAGGTTACGCTGGGTTTTTTTTTAACCAAATGAAGTCACAAAGTTTTATTAATGACTCAAAATTGACATGAATGAAATTTTAAAAACCTCTTTGTTTAGTTTTTCCCTATGTAGAATTTTTGCCAAATTAACAGTCTCCTGCAAAACATTTAAATATTGATGAAACTTTTTGTTGGAAATGTTTCAACAAGTGCTGTTGCTTACTAGATTGTATGGGGAATATTACACAAAATCAGGCAATTAACTGTCACTGGCCTTTTGAGAAACAGTGAGATCCTTACTTTGCAGAGCAACTGCCTATGCTTGCAAGAACAAGTGAGGAGAACAATTTTTTTAAACAGAGTTGGGATCACAGAGGCAGTTGAACTCTAATGGAGGTTTTACTTCTTGCTTCTCTTTGTAGGAACATAGTGAAGTGATCAGTGTACCAGCTCATCATGGTGCTCATGAGCCCATCTGTAAATGTGGTGATCTAGATGTCATCTTCAACTATAAAGCCTCAAGTCAAAAGCTGGTAGTTACTATCCTGGAGGCCAGGGATATCCCAGACAAAGACCGCAGTGGTGTGAACACCTGGCAAGTGCACACAGTCCTGATGCCTAGCAAGAAACAGAGGGGTAAGACGAGTGTTCAGAGAGGACCCATCCCCATGTTCAAGGATAAAATTACCTTCAGTAAGCTGGAGCCAGAGGAGTTAAGCAGCCACGCCATTCGTTTCCGCCTCTACGCGGTGCACAAGATGATTGGAGAGAAGATGATGGGAGAGCAGTTGTTCTACCTGAGCAACATCAGCCAGGAAGGAGAAGTGAAGGTGACGTTGGTCTTGGAGCCAAGGAGTAACTTGAGAGTAAGTTTGATGAAAGAAATACGGAGTCCATAAAATTGTTCATCTGGTGAATGGGGACCAGCTCTACCTGTTATCTTTCATTCAGGGCTGTTAGGAGTCAACTGGTGGATCTGTTTTACTGTCATTTAAAAAGTTATCAG